GGGAGAAAAGCCACTTCTGACTAGGCATAACAATTCTGAAGGGAAAATTTACACACATTTTATGCTTTTGTTTTTTAACAAGAGGCGACATGCTGCCCTAGCGCTGACTTGTAGCAGAAGAGATTAAAAATTCTTGGACCATCAGTAGCAAGAAATCACAGGGCTGTACTTACAGAGGTCATTAACTGTCCAGACATCTGTTGGGTAACAAATTCTGCTAAACATAGATCATGAAACGGTTCTTGAATTATGCAGAGGATAATTTCACAATCCAGAAAACAGAGAATTCAAGCAGAGAAAAAGACGTGTAAGACCTTCTTATTGCCAGTCAGGGAGGAATTTACTAGGATGCCAGAATTACAGGAAAGTTTGATGCTGGTCGTGGTGGTCTGCTGGATTGCTGTCAGTGTGATAAGGAACAGAAACAGATGATGGTCACAATATACTCCACAAGCTAACTGACATTATATCAAAATTGGCCATATTAACTAGAGGAGCGCTGACAAAAGCGTCCAGCGAACTCAACAAAGGAAAAACACCCAAAGTCTCAGTGAAAACTACCGTAAAACATGTTAAAACACAAGGAATAGATTTCAGTATAAAAAAAAGGGAGTTAGGAAACAACGAGCAGATGCAGCAGTGGAAAAAACAGTGCATTTGGTGGAAACCGGCTGGAGCATTTGAAACAAAGTATAAATTCAAGCATAACAGCCCCTAATTCCCCTTGAAGAAGGCGCCCTGTGCCATTCCCCGCATCTGCGGTAGCTGGTTGGGAGAGGGCCACAGGGAGTCCAGCCACGCTGCGCTGGACTGTAATTGGGTTAAAGGACTGTCACTTACCTCGGAAACGAGGGCTCCAGTGATACCTGCCAACCTTTGGAATCTGGAGTTATGCTGGAATCAGGAGTTACTTATTAGCTGCTGCAGAAGTCAGACACACAGCACAGCCAATCATCAAAAGCACGGACAGCGAAACACTTGTCAGGGCAAATGAGTAGTTTTGGCTTCTTTCTGCGGGCCAGCTGAGGAGAGCCATACTGAATATCTAAGCAGAGATGTCAAGAAAAACATATTGTAACTTTTTCTGAAGGAAAAGATAAGATAAAGAGAACCTGAAACGGAAGACATGAAGACAAGTAAGAATTGATCGAGGAAAACAAAATACAAACCCCAAAAAAGCCCTGCACTACCTTGAAAGTAAATGGAATGGCTATAATAGTTAAAAGCCTGATTTTTTGTCTCCTTTGCATTGTTAAGTTTCATCTTCCTTCGAGACCCCAGTTATATAAATTACTGTTAGCTGTGTATTCCCAACTCACATAAACCAGCCAGCGTGAATGCATGTAACAGTGTCAAGGCCCTCGGAAAACAGAAATAACAGAAAATAGAAATGCTTTAAAAGAGGGAAGGAGCAGGAGAATTTAAGAGAAAATGTTACATTCATCACACAACCAGTGTACACAACACACTCTGCCAAATCCGGAGAAGCGTACACTTAGTGTCAGCCTGAATTATGGGATGGACTTTCTTGGACTTTTTATTTTGGACCCATTTTTGGAAAATAACCATAAACCGTATATTGCCTTAAAAATGGCTTACCAACAGGAAAATATTAGAACTGATCCTGAAACATTCAGGGCTTTCCGATTGCAACATCATGAAATTGAAAGCCATCTCCAACAACAAAAGAACTCATCACTGACCAAAATAGCACTGCTTGGTGAAGACTGTTGTTATGAAAAAGGGTTACACTTGTAATTCAAGGTTTGTTATAAGCTGGTCTTAAGTCAGTTCTAAAATTTTCCTAATGAGAAATGCTTTTGTAATCTCATCTTGGTAAGAATTATCCTTTTGTGCTTTCCAAAGCCATGTTTTAAGTGTCCTTTCCTCCTGTTTGAAATATTTCTAAAACACTATTTTTCTGCAAGTTGGTACAAGACAGATTTGCCTACTGGGGCATCCATTCAAATTTTCTGTAACAAACAGGCCTTATATCAGGGCTTCCACGTGTGCATAAAAGAAAAAAGAAACCCCAAACCTCTCATTTAATTTTAACCGTATCTTTTGAATACCACGTTCAGCAAACAGTCCCAAACACCTTGCCAAAGGTGCTTGAAGCCAGGGAATACAGATGAACAGGTTTCTTCCCTGGATGAAAGAGGCTTTATCAGGTTTGTTTTATTCTAGAAGACCTATGTCTGTGTTTTATAGATGGCTTTTGTAGAGATTTCCAATTAGCTACTAGTTGAGATTTGATAAGTTTTCATTAACTGGCAAAAGACAGACCGACTGGTCTATATTCTGTTTGACACCAGCCATGCCAGCTGCTTTGCAGAGAGCGACCGAGTGCATCTTTCTTTTAGAGCGTATTTTGATTTGGGGCAAAAGATGGCAATGCATAATAATCACATTTGGAGTAAAAGCTGGATAATGAACTTCTACAGCGTGGCAATATTTTAAAGAAGGAGCTCCCAGCTCTCATATACCACACGCAGGTGTGATACCTCAGTGGGAAGCAATTTAGGGATGAATGAATAATTCTGTCCTCCTGTTTACCAAGACTAATCTCATTACGTTGGCCATTAAAAAAGAAAAAGAAGAAGAAAACCACACCTTATTGTTTTGCCTCCCTGGGAAGTGCTTGTAGACTATCTTTTAGCTGTAACTGCTTTATACTCCAAGCTGACTGGAGCTGGAATTGGTGTCCCTTAGCCGCTCGATTAGTGAGATAAATTCTGCACGCCTGTGTCTGGGCTCCATGGTAATGGAGTTACGTTGCTATGCTATGAAATGTGCGGGAGGGTCCAGTGCTTCAGGAAGGATATGATTTCCAGGGCTACTGAAACTTGGTAGTGTAGGCAAGGAGGAATGCTTGGAGCAACAAACAAAAGCAGCTGCTGGAATGGAGACGGGGATCGCCGGGGCCGGCGGGTATGGGCAGGGCACCGCTGCCCCGGGAAAGCTTCCCTGCCAGGGATGTAACAGCCAGCTGAAAGATCATTTAAAAGTGGCCTTGTGGGGGAGGAATATCCTAGTTCTGTTCCTGCCACCCCCAGGACAGCCTGCATGGCAACCTCGTGTGTTACAGGTATTTGTGTGGAGGACTGCGTTCACCCCTTACGCACGCACGGGAGCTTGTAACCAGGGCTGCAAGAAGAGAAAACTAAACAAAACCAGGGTGGACTGCTACAAATGCTCTCTCTCAAACTCTCTGAGAGAGATAACTATTATCTCTGGCCATCCTGACAGGAGAGGATTTTTTTTTTTTCTTCTTTCCCTGACATAATAAGAAAAGGTATCCTCAGACTTGGTTTTGGTTTTTTGTTTTTTGGTTGTTTTTTTTTTTTTTTTTTAGCAAATGCATAAGACTCCTCCTGTCCTCACGGGGGCTGGAGGGAAGCTGAGAAGTTTGCACCAGTATTTCCCTGGGCGCTCTGGTGTTATCAGGAATCAAGGGGACTGCTGCTGCCTGCTGCTACCAGCATCTCAAGGATGGAAAATAAGTTCAAGAAGATAGAAAGAAAGGTAAAATATCTTAGCTTTTGTAGGCTAGAGAGTGTTTTTTGTTCTCTTTGAGTCTTGACACACCAGCTGAGATACCCAAGAGATGGAATAAATTTAAAGGCTCAGAGCCGAGACAGGTTTTTGCTCTTGACCACAGTCCTACCTTAAGTTAAAGGAGCGACGTAACACATCAGGAAGGATATATAAGAACTGCAAATCTATTTAAATCCTTGTGTGTACTACCGTATTACAACCATAACTTTGAAATGTTTGTTTTAAGCAGCTTTCTCCATGCGAGATTTAATATTCCCCCCCCAGTACCAAACAGGAGAGGTCTTGCTGTTTTAACAGTTAGATACATCCGAAGACAACGCACAGCCTAGAAGACCCTTGGGTGCAAGGCCAGCAATACCAAAGGAGCAGCAGGTATCAAACACAGCGCTTCATTTTAATGACAAAAGCCTCCTTATCTCCTGCTCAGGTGCCTTGCAACCTCTCCATCCTTAATTGACTGACTTGTGCTGTCACAGCACAGATGGTCCTCAAAGAGATTAGTTTTTCCTCTGAAAATAATCTTACTATGCACTTCTGTCACAACTTTCTTTAGAAGAACCGAAGCACTTCACAAATATTAATGGACTTACTCTCCCAGTCCCTGTACAGTTAGAAAACAAACTCTATCAAACTACTGTAACAGCCGTTTCCTTGCATTTCCGTGTCAACTGTTCTTCCCCTGGATGGCACCCGGCTGCTCCCTGCAGTTCCAGCTCCCAAGCCAGGGAACAGCGTGGGATTTGGATGCCCGGAGGGGTGGTGGGGAATGCAAAAACCCCCAGGAAGCCTCAGAGGCCATCCTCTGGGTTCCCCGAGGGACGGAGGGGGCCAGGAGCAGCCGGAGGGCAACTTCTTTTAGAGGTCGTGGTTCCGCAAAGGGGTGTAGTTCCAGTGGGTTCCGGTGCTGGAGAAGCCGAAGTACAGACTGCTAAAAGGTGCGAGACAGTTTCAAAGGCAGGCAGCTGCCTCTGCGAATTTTAGAAAAACAGGCATCCTCAGTCCAAGTTCTAGAACATACGTAAAAAACCCGAGATCCGCTTATCTGAACGCCACTTTTCTGAAAAATTTGTGGGGTTACATCTTATCTGATCCCAGCCTTCTCAGTAATCACTCAGTCTAGGATGAGTTTTATATTTTTACCTAAGCTACCTGAATTCTAAGATTAAATGCATTTCTCTTTGATAACAATTTCAGGGAGGGGAAAAAAAAAAAAAGTAGCGTCAAACCCCACTGAACTAAAACCAGTAAAAACAACCCAAAACCTCACCAATAAAAGCTGGCATGTATGCAAGATAAGTGAAAAATAAATTTTTATTTATAAAAAAAAGCAAGCAAGTTGAATGCGCAGAACTTGGCTAAAGGAAGACTAAAAGGATTAGGGGATAAGTATTAAAAGATAATACACTGAAACTCAGAATGTTGTATAAAGATATATATTTTAATGATAAGCAGTAACATAACATTAAGCAATGGAAAATATAACACTTTTAAACAGGGAAAAATGCTTAATGGTGACAAACTACAAGACTATGGAATGGTATTCTAAAGAAAGCTCTGAAAAATATACTCATGTCATTAAAACCTGGATTGACCAAGATCTTGAAATATTTTTTGTGAAACAAGGAGAAAACCAAGTAAAAAAAAAAACCCCACACACACATATTTATACACATATATTTATACTGTCAATTTTGGCTCTCAGACCTGCTTGAAGGTCTTTAGCATGACATCTTCCATTCAAGCCTGCAGTTTAGGACAAAATAAGGCTAACACTATGTGATAATACAACAAAAATCTCACAAATATTGGCTGGGAGAAGATGATGTTTGAGGAGAAAACACAGTAACAGCAAATTATACCAAGAACACTCTCTGATTTTTTTAATACATTTTTTTTTTTTCAGGTATATTTTCATACTTATATATGAGTTTTGATGTATTGACTTAGCATTCAAATTTAAAGTGAAATTTGCATTTTTAATACCGTCTTATTTGTCCCCAAATGGACAATGCCCATTCTGAAGATCAGAATATGAGTATTCTTAGACATAAATTCATGCTCCCTCATGGATGCACGACAAATACCAAACAAAAATTCTGTGACATTCGCTGGAATCTTTGGCATCAGCTGGACAGCAGGAGTATTCCTCCAGACAGAACGGTGCTGAAATCATTCGTCTGGATTTGGGAGAAAAGGTAGGACTGGCTCATTTAGAATACGCATGGGGTACAACTTCGCCCACCGTATGAAAAAGCTGAAAGCAGAAAAAGATGAATGTTTGCAGTGACAGCCTCAAGCTCTCTCCCTGCTCAGCTGTGTCAGCTCTACCAGTAATGAGCATAAGCACTAATATCACCGGGTTTTGTTCCTTCGCAGCAAATCTCCCGTACGGATTTATAAATGTGACTCTGATGGCAGTACCAGCCATTACGACTCTCACATCAAGAGGCTGCTACACACTTAAGGCTTGGGTTGATTATCTATCTTTGAAAGAATCGTTCTCAATATTAATCAAACTGGCTGGCTCCCAGAAGAGAAGTACTAATGCCTACCACAGACAACACACCCCCCGCCTCGATTCTGACCTGGAGGGGATCTAATATGGACCCAGTAGAAATGCACAGCAGCAGGAAGAACTGAATGTTCCAAATGGCTTTCAACGTAACAGCAAAAAGCAAGGACATACAGAAAACTGCAGTAAAGTGGTTTGGCTTGTACAGATCCCATTGGAGCTGCATGTAGCTTTTTTTTGTCTGTGGGATTCTTCTACCAGTAATAGTCAGCAGGGCTGAGGGGACCAAGGGTGGAATGGGCCCAGCTGCTTCGGTCCCACCTTCCTCTTGTGCTGGTAAGAAAACTGCAGCTTGCCTACGGCTTGCAGTTTTCAAAGTTGGTTCAGAATTCATGCTGGTTTATAACCGATGCTACCACTAAGAGTTAACTCGGCTTTTTTTTCCCCCCCTCTCACTTCGTTTACTGGCAACAAAACTTAAAAATTCCAAATGACCCTCCAGGATTTATGCAAAGTCTCCACAGTACAGGCTGCCTTCCACCATGACATTTTCCTGGTATGGCAAGGGCTCTAAAATGCCTTTTTTCCAGCACTTTGGAGAAGGAACGATTCCAGAAGTTTCCCGTTTTTAGGATGCTCTCCAAGAAGATACATGATGCTTGACACGTCAAGGCGACGCTGTTTTTATTCGGACAGTCAATGAAACATCAGCAACAGGCAAACAGAAAAGATAGCATGTCTGAAGAATGTGCCTATCTCAGAGATTTAAAAGGAAGCCAATTAGCAGCCGACGGCATACACTCTCTCAACATTACTCCCCAACGAAGTTACGAATCCCAAGGCACGAGTTGTTAAAGCAGCCCCGCGGCCTTTACATAACAACTTGAACCCCACCACCTCAGGGAGACAGTTACTACCCTAGCAGCAGCAAGCCTTGCTGACCGTAGGAGCTGCAACTTTCCGCGGGGATCTGAAGGGCAGAAAGGTGTCCCAAAACACCTCTGTAGAGACAAAACGACTGCGAACCAAGCCCCTCTGACAGTCCGAACGCTGCACTGTGTAACGGGGGCTGGCATGCAGCTGGATTCCAGGACAGTCTGTGGCCTCTGCAGCACCTGCTGGTTTGCTGCCTCTGACGGCAGGGCTTCAGATTAACCAGCAAGAACCTGGAGCAGCACAGCCTTGCTGCTGGTCACGAGAGGCAGCGCCACTGGTGTGGCACTAGCACTGGACTGTTGGCAAGATGCAAGCGGCTCGAGTGCCGCTGGGTGCACACAGGCTTGGCCACTCTTACCGCCACCAGCAGGCTCCACTCTGAGAAACACTCATAGCAAAAATGTTGCTTCCAAAGAAACCCAGTCGCCGTATTTCAGCCTGCACTGACTCCCGCAATTTCCCTCCCAGCTCTCACAGGATCCTCGAGATTGGAGATTCCTGAACGGCCTTGAATGGGGAACGGGGATGAAAGGGAAGCGCCCCTGACTTCACCCCAAGGCCTGAGAAGGGATGGCACAGGTCACAGATGCTGCCCTGACAGGAAAGCCAAAAGAAGCTGCTCGCAGGCATAAGCAAGCATACCAATCTGTAATGGAAATATGACTCTAACCCTCTCTCTTCCTAGAAACTAAATGCTAATCTTTCATTAGTCTGAAAAAAAAAAAAAAAAAAAAAAAAAAAAAAGCCCAAAGCTCTTGCCTAACAACAGAAATCTTGCCTGGGAGAGCAAGATGAATCAAACCAGGCCACTGCCAATTTTATCTTGAGAGAAGGAAGGAGCACAGTGGCTTCATACCTTCTAGAGCAGTGGCTGTGGGAGCACATCAGCTGGATCAGGAAAAAAAAAAATAAAATAAATAAAAATCAGTCAGATAGGAAGCAGAGCAATCTCCTGAACAGATTATACCAAGAAATGGCTCCAGAGTTACTGCTCCAAGGCTGTGAGATCAGAAACAGCACAGACTGGACTGCTGGGGAAAAAAAAAAACAAAACCAAAACACAAACCACCAAACAAACAACTGAGAACAGAGATCTTCGTCATTAATTGGTTGGAAACACTCCACAATTATATGATTTATCGGAAGTAAATTTGGAGTGCCTTAGCGTGGATCAAAGAAACATTAGTGTTAATCTCTGCCCGTATGTAGGGGAAAAGGTCACAGCTAGGGCTAGCCAATTTTTTTTTTTTATTATTATTTTTTTTTTTTTTTTTCTCTGCTAAGCCTCGAGTGGAAGGCCAGACCATGCCTCTGGGAATTCACCCTCAAAATGGTACCGAACACCGTTTTCCACATCCTAAACCCAGCGGGTATGCCAGGCGACACAAGCACTGCCTGCCAGGAGCCCAAGTTCCCTTGAGGAACGAGACCCCCCCCCCCCCGGGCTTCAGGCTGACCTCGGGGTCCCTGGCCGCCCCCCCCCCCCCAGCCGAAGGGGCTGAGCTGGCACCCGGTACCGGCACCCCCTGACAGGGTCCCTGAGGGGGAAGGCCCCGCCGGGGCAGGAGGCGGCTCCCCGCGGCCCGGGGACCTTCCCGCAGCCTCAAGGAGAAGCCGTGGCGCCCGCCAGACGAGGCGGGGGGCAGCGCCCGCCCCTTCTTTCCACACCCCCCCCCCTCCCCTCCGCCGTGACTCACCCGCCCGCTCCCGGCTGGGGACAAAACCCCCAGCGCCGGAGTCACCGCCCCGGCCGGGCCTGCGCTCCCCCGGGGCCTACCCCCGCCGCCCGGGCTCCCGCCCGCCGCCGCGCCTCAGAAACCGGCGGGTCGGGGAGGGCGATAACCCCGGCCCCCCCCGCTCAACCGGAGGCGTCACCCTCCAAATAGCCCAGCGCTGAGGAGCAGGAGCGGCGGCGGGTCTCCCCCCGCCCGCGTTCCCCGTCACCCCTCCCCATTTCTTCTGCCCCCGGGAACGTCCATCTGAGGGCGCGGCGGCGCCCCCGCCCCGGCCCCTGTTCCCCCCCCCCCCCCCATCTCCCAACCCAGCGCCACTGCGCATGCGTGGCGGCGCTACCCCCGCCGCCCTCTCCCTCAGCGGCTCCGGCCACCCTCCCCTCCCCGCACCGCCCTTCCCCCGGCGATTTGAATATGCTAATGAGGGGTTACCGGGAGCCCTATGGTGGGGCCGGGAGGCGGTCACGTGGGGCGGGGACGTGTCCTTCGGAGGCGGGGCCCGACCTGCCCAGCCTGCCTTAAAAGCGGGCGGCGAGCGAGGAAGCGCCTCAGTCAGAGCGAGAAAGTGCCGGGGGTGGCGGGGCTGCGGCTGCTCCGCCTGAAACTTCTGAGTAACATCAACAGGGGGAGGGGGAGGGCGGGCGGCGGTGGAGGAGGAGGAAGGTGGCGGTGGGGGGGAAGGTTAGCAGCAGCGCAGCCCTATCCGCCTCTTCCCTCATAAACCAGCCTGTGTTGGGCTGAGCAGGCCCCTCACACAAAGGAGGGCAGGGCAGGCAGGGCTGCCCCCCCTTCCCCCCCGCCTCGGCAGAGGGGCAGCGGGGAGGCGCCCTTCCCCGTGCAGAGCACTCACAGCCACTTACTCCTCTCCTGTCCCCCGTCTTCTTCTTCTCTTACCCCCCCCCCCCCCCTCCCGCCCCGCGGTTCTCCCCTCAACCCCCCGCCCGCTGTCCATGTAGCCGCCCGGCCGCCGGCCCCTCCGCACTATGCCCATCTTACTCTTCCTGATAGACACGTCCGCCTCCATGAACCAGCGCACCCATCTGGGCACCACCTATCTGGACGTAGCCAAAGGCGCTGTAGAGACTTTCATGAAGGTACCGGCTCTGCCTTGCGAGAGGAGGCGAGAGAGAGCGAGAGTGACTGCGCGGGGAGGGGAAGGGGGGGGGAGGGCAGGGCGCGGGGGGCTGCCTGGGCCGGGGGGCGCGGGGCGAGGGCGGGAGTGCGTGTGTGTGCGGGCAGGGAGGGAGGGGACGGGAGGGCAGGGCCGTGCCGAGCCGAGCCCGGGCTTTTGGGGAGGGGGGGGGGCACCGGCGGCGCTCCCTCCTCCTCCTCCTCCTCTTGGGCTCACCCTCTGCTTTGTCCCCCGCGCCGCAGCTCCGAGCCCGGGACCCGGCCAGCAGAGGAGACAGGTACATGCTGGTCACTTTCGAGGAGCCTCCCTACGCTATCAAGGTAACCCCCGCTCTCACTCCCCGCCCCCCCCCCCCCCCCCCCCCGGCCTCCTTCCGGCCCCTCCGCGCTGCTGCCCCCCCCCCGCCCGCCGCGCCGGGGCTGCCGGGGGAGCTGGGCACACACACACACACACGGGCTCTGGCGGCGGCAGCGCTGACATCAACATGGCCGACATTTTTTTTTTTTTTTTTTTTTTTTTTTTTTTAATTTCATTCCCCCCCCCCCCCCCCCCCCAGTGTGGTGTGTGTTCGAGCAGCAATGAACTGTGGGGGATATTTATTCAAGTTGGGAGAAAGTGACAGCAACTCCAAGGAGAGTTGAAGCTTGGAAGGGGCGAGCGGGGGGGGGGGAAGGACGGACTTCAGCCCGGAGAATCCGGACTCGGAAGGGGACGGCACTTCCCTCGCCCCCGCCTTGGCCGGGGGGCTGGGGGGGGGGGGGGGGGGGGGAGGCGGTGGGTCCAGACGACACGGGACGATGAACCTGTTGGAGGTCGCTTCAGAGCGCGGCCGGCTTCTCTCTGGAAAGGGCTGCGGGAGAGCGAGGTAAACGGCTGTAAGGCTTGTGCGGCGGGTGACTTCGAAGAAATTCGCCCCGTGGAACAAATTCAAAATCTTGGTTGGGTAGATGGGGAGCGAAGGGGTTTAATGTGCTGGAAACTAAGGTTTAAGTACGTCCTTTCAGGCTGTATGGAATGACGCTGTTTATCAGTAACTTCAGAGGTGTTTCGTTAGCGTTTGGAGGGGGCTGCATGCAGCAAGGAGGGCACTTCGTAGCCTAACAAGCAAGCAAAGCTCATATCTGGAGAATAAGTCTTCTCACGTTTCTCTTTTCAGGCTGGCTGGAAGGAAAACCATGCAACGTTTATGAATGAACTGAAAAACCTTCAAGCTGAAGGACTTACGACTCTTGGCCAGTCCCTAAGGACAGCTTTTGATTTATTAAACTTAAATAGATTAGTAACTGGCATAGACAACTATGGGCAGGTAGGTTGACTATTCACAGGTGGAAAAATCATAAAACACAAACTTCCCAGAGTCAACAATTAGCTAGTTGTCCAAAGTGGCATCTTCGTGAAATACTCAGTATGGGGGCTTCTTCAAAAGTAAGCAGAGCTCAGATAGTTTGAAGAAATGGAGTCACTAGCTACAGTTTGGTACCCAACTTTTCTTTCTTTTTTTTTTTTTTTTTTTCTTTTTTATTTTTCTTCTAAACTTCAGTTACTCCTCTGGTTTTAAACTCTGATCTAGGCTCCAAGTTGACCTCAGTCTTTTTTTGTATCAAGTCTACGTTTCAGAACCTTAGCTGGTAAGCCTGGTGGGGTCATGGAAACTTTGCTTTCTCTATACAGTGCTGTGTAATCAATTACGTACAGTTTGGGAAATGAGCTGTTTTTCTAACAACACTACATGTCCCCAGGTACTGAATGGAGCACAACTCTTTCAAAACCCTTTATTTCCAATGAATTTCCTACAACTTGTCTCTGCATACCTGTATTTTTATAAACCTGCCTGTTGTATCAGAGCCTTGAGAAGCTGTGCTTTTCTAATGTCTGTGTTGCAGCTAGCCCTTTAGAGCAGGACCTTCTTTTGGGGCTTGGCCAGCATTCTCTTGCTCAGTAGTACGAGTTGCTAAAAGACAGAAACTCGAGGTTAAACATGTGCTTTATGAAGCATACCCTTTTCTTTCTGGCACTGGATCAAACCCTGGATTTATTTTGCATAAAGGACATCATTAGTATTGGGCGAAGTATATAGTGTATTTTTCCTGTGGGGCATACTAACGTGTATTTCCCCTTTGTGTTTGTTGTTCTCGTGTAATGCTCCCTCTGCTATCTGAGGATTAGTTACTGCTGTTGGTATTTAACATGGGAATGTGATTGTGAAAATAAGTCCCCTTTCTCCCGCCTCCTCTTTCCAGTCTTAAGCAGAGTCTATGTGATAACATGCCATGTTTGTTTGGGAAGGAAATTTCTCTCTCTCATGTTGCATTGTATGGCTTTGCCACTAGGTGATCAAGTGAGCCTAAGCATTTTTAAAATGCCAGTTTAGTGATGAAACTTAAGGAGAAAAAAAAAAAGTGCTAGTTCCACACATGGCTATTTTTTTGTCTATTACCATCTGCTGTTCTCTTCTACATCTGTGTGCTAATCTTTCCCATTTTCTGATGTTTTTGTTTAGTTACATGAGCTATACGAAGCTTTTGTGAACACTTACCACTGTAGGCACACACAGGAAATACTTGCTCTTTCCCATTGCTACTGATAATTATTCTAATTAAACCCATGTCAAATAATTTGCTCTAAGTGAGCCAGCTGTGCTCAACCACTCAGTCAAGTGGGCAGTTGAGTTGTCATGACTGTTTTGACTCACTAGTACTGTTCATTCCTGCAAATAGCTGCTCTTCTTTATGTGAAGCAATGACTTCTTCCATCTGTTTTGTTACAAGTTCGTATGGGCTTGAACCCCACCCTTGCTTACACGTGTGTTCTGCTCTGTTCCACGTGTGGAGCTGGCTGTTGAAGAGGTGTTCACATGTGCAGTCAGGTGACTGAATAGAAATTCTAACTCTCTTAGTGTCTGCAAAAATAGATGAATATATTGCGAGTGCCAGGTCATCTGCTGCTGAAGTCACAGGTTCCCGTTTTGGCTCTCCTAATCAAAGTAGCGTTTTTTTTCATAAATCAGTTAACATTCTGGAGCGCTTAACTGGTCCTTCAGCACTTGCAGGATGGGATCCAGGGCAGTTACTTTTCCTCAACTTCACACTGGCCTTTGAGCACTATGCCATGCTATCCTGTTGTTCATGTCCACTCCCCAAAATTTGCTCAAGATACATGGGTATTTAAACATACATGGTATGAGAAACTTAGAAATTCAGGATAATAAAAGTGATCAGAATGCTCAGTTGTATTTGAAATAGTTTTCACTCAGAACATAAAGTGCTGATTCACATTTTTTTAAAGCAGCTACAAATATTAAGACCATAAAATATTATTTAACTAAAATATAGCACAGGTGTTTGAAAAATCATTATCATAGAGTGGGAGGAGAAGATGATTTTACAAAAATGCAACGTGTGGATGATCTTAGGTGTGGTATTACATCAAGTAATAAATCCAAACTTTTATTAAGCTTTTCTCTGGCTTAACATCTTTTGACCATCATGCTTGTTTTTTGGTATATTGACAAGCTTCTAAGATATTTGCCATGATCCACTTGTTTCACATGTATGAATTGTAAAATGGATTTTTATTATATGTACAAATGACAAGACATGATACGAGCTTGATGGGATTGTCTAGTTATGTCATCCAGAAGGCATGATGTCCTGTCCCCCTGCTGAATATGAACTGTTTGTTTAAATGGCAGTGTGACTCACTATATTTGATTTCTTTCAAAGTAGACCAGAGTTCTCCATCAGCTGACTTCCTGAGCAAGAGTGACGGCTGAATGGTCATTCTGAAATTGAGGAAAACCTTCCGTTTCATATTTTCTTGCAACAATAATTTTCAGGTTTTTTTTTTTGATACGAGTATTTATATTACTTTTTCAGTAAATAAGTGACACAGTTGCTCGTGAAGATTGAGTTACCAAGTGTACAGCTGTAGTAGCTGATCACAGTATCTCACATTCAGATCTTAAAGGGACACTCTCAATGCATTTAGATTGTCAAGAACCTGGAAGATTTTTTCATAAGCTGTTTCTGATGTTATGGTATGGCTTTATAAACCCTTTGTCTTACCTAGGGTTGTTAGATCCGCATTTTTGTGAAGGTGTTTGTCAACAACAAGGTGTTGGAAAGTACCCATATTTTAAGGTGACTATTCCTTCGATTTTTACAGTAGTTTCAGAATGAGAAATTCTGTATGATACTGCTTGAGTGCAGTAATAGTTACAGTTTTTTTCCCCCCGTAGAATGCCTTGTGCTGATTATGATATCGGAAGAATGAACCTTCAAATAGGGTGTCAGCTTTTACTGTTTGCTAAAAACAGCGGTCCTCTTCACCTTCTGCATTTTTATAGAAAGCTTAGGGAAAAATACAGGATTTGGATGTCTTCAGGAAGAAAGCAATTTAAACACGTTCAGTAAGGGCTCGCTGTCACATCACACAAAACGTTGTACCTCATTAGCCCAGCTTGCACTTAGCTAATTGACTTATCTTTGTCGTTTTTCCCCCAATTCAGCTTCTCCATTGTTTCAGGTGTTTGGAAATACCAAGCCTTCTGCTATCAGATTTTCTGTCCTCTTGGGATACACTCCTAAGCCTTATAGCTCTGGCTCGTTCAGCAGCACATGTGTAGTCACAATTTAACTGAATAGTTTTGAGCAAGGCAAACGTGCAGCTTTTTGAAGTTGATGGAAGGGTTAAATACCAATAGATGTGTTTCTCTTTTCCTGGAAACAGAAAACATGAAAAATGCAGCAATTATAATAATACAGTAAAAATGGAAACAAATGGTTGAATTGAGCCATCTATGTACTTCAGTTATTTGCAGTTTGTAGCGAAGTTTCTAAAACAGAGCTCTGAATTGAAGGTAGGTAAAGTACCTATCGATGGTGTTTCGATACTCACGTGCAGAGGACCAACACAGCATTGCCGAAGCTTGAATCTGATGGATGTTTGAAATTGCTACAGCTTCAATTCTCTGATAGCCCTTGTGTTTCACCTTGCCTATTGTAGTTTGCGTAATGAAGGTCTCTTACTGTTTTTTTCAGCAGTATTGCATAGAACGAGGTTTGAGAGGATAAAACGTACTTATCTGAGTGGATTTCGGAGTGGTTGAGTTGATGTATCAAGGTATTTTTCCAAATTTTTTCAGGGTGAAATTTCGTTTTAATATTGTGGCTAGCAACAGCACTTTTCAATAACATAAGCTTTTTATGAGCTTTTTATCTCACTAGAGTATCTTGCACATAGTCTCCAGCATGGTAATTATTATTGATACGGTGAAACTGGCTTAGAGGTGACTCTGACTTTTAAACAAATGTGATGTAATGAAAGCACTTGCTAACTCGGTTGTTTTGAAACGGCGAAGCCAACTATAGTGCTTCTGTAAATCCAAGTGAAGTTGGAATTTGGTATTTTTCATTCACAGTGATCAGGTGCTCTCTGGATTTAGCCTGACACAAGAAACTGTTTTTCCTGCAGTCCGTTTCACGTACATACAAAAGCATAACTAAGAAATTTTGAGACAAACTAAAATCCAGATGGAATTCAACTGATTAAGAATATTTTGGGAATTTAAAAATGTGTTAGGGGCTGGAAAGACCTATTCCTGAGCTGGAAGTTAGAAGGTATCCTGCATATAGTTGCATTATTTTTAAAAACCACTTTTTTTTTTTTTTCCCCCCAAGGGTTTTGTTCATCCTATGTCCACCAAGTAATACAATCTTAGGTTAAATGCTACTTTATAGTTCTCTCCGAATATATGGTTAGACCCGTTTGTGGCTACAGTAGAAGTATTGCTGATGTGTTCACGGAGTAAAACCTGGTGTTGATCTGTAGACATCAGTTTTCCCATAATGGCTGAAATAGCCCAGTATTCAAAATACATGTAAAAAGCATACCTAGGAGATTAAGTCTAACTGTGCTTGTAGGCACACGACAACACGACAGCTTTGGTTTTAAGTCACACGTTGTAGCCTGACTCCTTGCTGATGTGCTTACCTGTGTCTTGAGATCTGCTGAGCTTAAAAAAACCCCAACAATCACACGTATGAAACATTTCCCCCAACACTGCATACATCATGCTTTTGCAGTAATATGTCCTGTTTTCTTTAATTTGTTGAGCAATTTTATTTTCCAGTCATTTTGGGGGAACTATTACTGGATGTTCTTGCTTTCAAAAGTCAAAATCCTTTGAGCATAGCTTTTTGTCTTGGCATTCTGGGGTCATGATCACTGCACTGGAATGGCCTGTGTTGGGCGTGCAGCCAAATTTGGAACCAAAGTTGAGGTGAACATTTCCTGCTTGGTCATGCT